AATAAAATACTGCAAATCTGTGGTGTTGTATGCTAACTTGAACCACAATAACTACTGTATAATTACAGAATATGTAGACAAGGAAGAATGTTTCCAAATTTCATGTTTATTTAAATCTTAAGAAATAGTCCATAGATGTAGCACTGAATTTGATAATCAAAAAGGAATGTTTGCGAGAGGATGTAGCGCAAGAATAAACTTAATTAAAATTGCAGCTCATTAATAAATAGGAGAATAGGTATTAGGAGAATAAAAATTCTTTAAAATTCCCTAAGCAAAACAAGGGAAATTGTACAAAGAAAAAAGAAGTTAATAACTTCACCAAAATGAAAGATTTCATGAAGCAAATTAACAAGTCCTATCAAAACTAAGGGTTAGCATGCTAACAGTTAGCATTAGCATATTTATTTTTGCCAAATTTCCAATACTCAATACATTAATAAAAAAAACAACTTTTGATAGTTAAATAAGTGTCACTGTGATCAGTAACCTTGACAAACAGAGGAGAGTTCTTCAAAATTAAGATAGACATATTCACTTCTAGATGGTCAACTATTTTCTTGCATAACCAACATAAAACAAAACCTACTGTATATGTACATTAATGCAGAGAGTCTCTTTATCGGAATTTAACAGGAGTGCTTTGAATAAAAAATCCCGGAGTCTCGTTTTGCTCAATAACATTAAATCAAAAGAAATATATCCCATTGCATTCTCAGAGAGTGCACTGAAGTAAATCCTGGCAGAAAAGCAGAACGAGAGGGAAAGTAAGAGGGCCGAAAGATCAACAGATGGTGGATTATTCACAGCAAGGCTAAGCCTGAAAGAAGGAGCTCTGAATACACACACACACAGTTCACGGCTGACCAGTGAGAATGCCTGTCATTTTGATGCTTATTACTTTAGTTCTCCATGCTGATACACATGCAGCGGTGCAACACAGAGGGAGGAAAAAGGGGATCTGGAGCGTGACAATATGCAGACTGTCGTCCTGTCGGAAACAGTAATTCGTTCCTGTGTCATTAGTTGCCATTTCTGCAACGGATTTCTTTTTATAGAAGAGGTAGAAAATAACAGCCGAAGCCATATTGTGCTTGATCTTTTGGGTCAGGCTTGCAGATATTTGATAAGGCTCCAATGGAACTGTAGGAATCAAAATAAAGAACAGCCAGGCTAACAAAACGAAGCTAAAAGAACTGGAATACTTGGATTGTACTTTCTTGTGTAATTATGTAGGGGCTGCATCTTTTTTGAAAGGTGAATTAAGATGGTTTTATTGCGACGTGGTGATCTATAAATTAACCAGACGAATCTTGAATGAGATTATAACGTATAGTGAACACATCTGGACCACAGTATGCAGCAGCATGTATTTAGATTCAAATTAAAGCTGATGTAACCTCCTTTAATCACAAAAATCTTTTTTTTCTCCTTCAGACTAGCCAGCAGGAATTAGCAAACATCTCGCGCCGACTGAGCTCATTAAAGGAGCTCCTTCTGAGTGCGACGCTGGTAAAAGCGCTGTTAAAGGGTTAATAGAGAAGCCATGTTGTGATGACTTCCTGAAGGCCAAGTTTTAGAAAGAGCAGGAGTTTTTAAAGAGACAGAGACCCAATTTCAAGGTGTTAAATTACAAGTTTTAAAAAAAAATCATTTGATATGCATGGCATTTTCATAACAACTGTAGTCACTTTATTGTGCTGTGAAATTACACTTTATGCCTGGAAAATACATAACACTGCCCCTTTAAGACACATATTGAGAAGATTAAATTTAAGACGTCTGCAGAAACCGTTTGGATCATGTACTTTACATTCTCCCAATTATTTTATCTGTTAGCGTTTTCAATTATTCATTTACCGGCACAATTTGTTTACTGATGTGTTATAGAAAGAGAACCGCTGTCTTGATTCACTATATGTTATATATGACCCATTGAAATGCCGATGAACTGGTTTACTTTTGTAAACACAGCTGTACTTATTTTAAGCCCACGCTTTGCTGATCACTCTCATTGGAGGAATGTGGCACAATGGGACGTATAAGGGAGATGACACAGATAAGGAAGCAGAAATCATGCCACCAGCACGACTTTCAATTCCTCCTCTTCACCACAGGAACAAGCTACTCATCCTCTTTGTGACATGCATGCTGTCATCAAAGCTGTGTAAATCTGCAGCGTGCACACTGATGCAAACACTAGACGGCTGCACTTTAAGTTTTCTTTCTGGAGTTGTTATGCTCCCAGCTTCCAACAAGTAAATTGTGCATGAATATCTTCTGACTCGCATCGCAACGTGTGATCATCCAAACCTCTTTGTAGGAGGACATGATCCTCTCGATGGCGTCGGCTCCGGACGCCAGGAGGTTACGGGCGGTGGTGAACGCCTCCGTCCTCTCGCTCACCATCATCTGCGCCTGTCCGTCTGGCGTTTCTGCAAAACGGTCGAGAACGGGTCGGGGAAGAGAGGAGGGAGGATGAGACACAGGTTCAAACACATCTGTTTGAGAGGCCAACGAGGGCAACGTGGTCCTCACCGTTGTCGGCGAAGCCCGTGGCCGTTATGATGGGCACGGCCACCATGACGAGGCCAGAGCCGCTCCACACGTACTTCATGAGGAACTGCTCGATCATGATGTACCAGAGGCGCTTGGACAGGATCAGGTTCATCTGGTCGGCCAGGGCCCGGTAGCACTTCTGCAGCTGACACATCTCCACCTGTAATAATAGAAAATGTAAAAAAACAAAAAACACAGAAGTTGGTCACTAGAGATGCACCAATCTGATAATAGTATCTGTATTGGTCCAGATATTGAAAAATAATTCTAGATTACATATTACACTGGCTGTTCTAATCCTAATTCCACTGACTACACAAATTAAAGTTATATTGTTTTTACATATTTGACCAAGCTGTTGGTGTATTTAAGTGTGCAAAGTTGTAAAATAGACTTGCAATTCAGTACATTTAAGTCTATGTTCTAAAAAAAAAAGAAGTTTTGAGTCAATTCAGCGCTATTTCTCTGTATCGAATCGGTATCGGCTATACTAAACCTTAAATATTGGTAGTAGAAGTAAAATAATAATAATAATAAAAAGTAGATCGGTGCATCCCTATTGGTGACATGACAAAATTAGGAAAAATTACAATAAAATATAGAATTTAGTTGCTTATTTAAATTGATTTTTAAAAGCATGCAAAAACTTGCTTTAGATAAAATACAAATTCACATCTACAGCCGAGAATAATCAGCCTAAGTATTTGCTTACATGTCAGCAAAAACCGAAAGCAGACCACTTTACCTTGTGTCCTCTGTAAAACGCTATTTCCTCAGCGTTAGCAATAATCCTGGAGTGCACGTAGCGTAGGTAGCCCTTTCTGTGCGCTTCCTCCGCAACCAGCTTGCCAAACCTGGGGGAGCACGCACGCAGGACCTTGGCCGTGGCAAAGACCACCAGCCCGGCCAGCAGGGTCGGCCCGCTGGCGTTGGCGCCCCTCGCCGTGGCGGTCTGAATCAGCGTGTAGGAGGTCAGCATCACGTCCAGGATCGGCTTGGTGAGGTTGGAATAGAGATGGGCCACCGACTGGGAGAACATCATCACGTCCTCGGTGAGCGACTGGTCCGGGTTGGCGAGCCTCCCGTCCATGTTGCTGACCCTATAGTAGGTCTGATCGGTGAAATAGGTTCGGTAAGCATGGTTAACTAGCCGGGTGCGGAAGGCCAGAGCCAGCTTGCACTCTAGGTACCGGATGGCGCTGTTGACGAACGTGGCCGGGATCGCGATGAGGAGCCATTTCATCAGCTGGATGATGAAGTGCCGGGGCTTTTTCTCCACGATCGTCTTGACTATCTTCCCGTCCAAGCTGGCCACGTAAATAGACAGAAATGTCCTGGATATCAGCGCCACCGAGTGCAAGCACAACAAACCTAGCTCTTTGGAAACGAGCCTGGGGAAGAGGATTTTACCAAGTTCCAGGATCTGCTTGAAAAACTCCGCATTGACTCCCGGGGATGCTTTCTTATCATCTACGACGTCTATCTGCGATTTCCCGGAGCACGTCGAGCCGTTCTCCGCCTTCGACGCCCGGCGATCGCGGTTCGGCTTTTTGTTCCCGCAGAGCTGCTTCCAGATGATGGGGTACAGCGTTTTAACACCGTAAGCTGCAGCCGCCAGGAACACGGCTCTCTTCGCCGCAGTCGTGCGGTCCCATTTCACTCTGGACGCCGCATCGAGGATATTGGACATCTTTTCAAACGTTAGTCGCCTCTGCTGATCGTCCCTGCAACACCCATCCCCCGAAAACACCGAATCTCCGCACCGTCCGAATAGCGGAAAAGGGGAGTACTTGTGATGGCCGAGAAGATGCGAGGACAGCCCGTAAGAAGCACCGTTACATTCTGCTGCGCTTCCACCTGCGGCAAGAGGAACAATGTACACTAAAAATCCACTTCCGGGTGGTGTTACCAAAATTAAACTGAGTTTTAGCAACACCCAATGGACGTTTTAATTTGTACAGCTAACTAATTTCCTGTGAAACTGCAGTGGTTCGTGATGCCTTGATGACGTTGTTTGAAATAGCTTTTCTGATTGGTCGCGCCCCCTGTGGAAGACTTAAAGCGCTAATGTAATTGGTGGAGCTGCGGGAGGAAGTAAATTTACAGTTCTTCCTGCCTTTGCGGTTTTGTACTTTGGTGTTGAAAAATGAAGTCCTTTTGTACCCGAGTTAGAATGTGGAATAATATAACATCTCAAGAAAATAATAAAATATATCAAAATTTACATACTCATGCAGGTAACCTTAAACATTATGTGCAAGTTTAATTCAATGTATTATGGAGAAGAAAAAAAATCAACAATTTAAACCTAAATACTGGCTAAAGGTGCCAAAATGAATAAAAAGTTAAAAAAATAAGTCGCTATTTTTAAACCAAAGGCGGTAGAAGAAGATTCCTGTGCAGCGCGTGCAATACTGCTACCACTTTCTCAGATTTAGGTATCGTTAGCAAGCTTACTAGCAAAGTGAGTTTCAGTTTCAGATTAATACTGAATATTAATATTTAGTTATAATATTGAAAACTACTTACTTACAACCAATAAAAATGAATTGGGTTGGAGGCTCCAGGTAAGAGTCGAGAGAGAACAAATCCCCTCGTAGAATAACGTTGAGCTAACGAACCAACGGTTGTTATGCTAACATTTTAGGAACCGGTTAGTGATGAAGAATGATACAAAAAAGCAAAGGGTGAGTCTGCTACTTTAAATTTCTATGGGTTTACGTAATTGCGGTGAATGTCGACGAGCACATGGCCCGTGTAAAGTTTTGTCGCCTTTCATTTTGTTTGTCAAAGGAGTTTTTTGCAAAGAGAAAACTGCAGCAAAAACTAAAGACGCTGGGCGTGATTCCACCCGGCTCCTCAGCTGGGGACAAATGCTCCGGGAGCACGGACCTTTTGACCTTGTTTGTTGTCAACCAGATAGCTTCCAAAAAAACAAATCAAGGTAAAGAGCCAGGTTATCACTGTCACTGTCAAAATACAGTCAGTGTTAAAAAAAAAACAACACATTAAATATTCGGTTCTTTATCAAGAATTGCACGTATCTTGAACTATTTTAAGATATCCATGGAAAGCAAAGTAATTTAATTGCAAGAGCAATTATATGATTGTTTTACTACTTAAATCATCAGTAGAAAATGTGTACTATAACTGAAGAAAAAGTTTTGACACCCTACCCAAGCTAGTGTTTGCCTCTTTAGCTAAAAAACAGATATCAAACTCCTGGAGGGCCACTGCCCTGCAACTTTTAGATGTGCCTCTGCTGCACCACAGCTGAATAGAATAATTAGGTCATTAGCAGGCCTCTTCACAAGAAGGAGGTAATTAAGCTATTTCATTCCAGTGTTTTGTACCTGTGCCACATCTAAAAACTGCAGGACATCGGCACATGAGGACTGGAGTTTGACACGCCTGATAAACAACATCAGTCAAATGAATTATAGGTCACTGTTGTTACAGGGCCCAGTATGACCAAGTCCACTGTAGGTATTTTGTGTATTCGAAAGGTCTAAAATTTTATGCAACTGTATTTCTATATTATTTAGAACTGGAAACATTTCTAAATGAAATAAATGTTGTTGTTTTTTTAAGAACCTCCAAAAGTTGCAGTCTTTGGCAGGTCTAAAGGAGCCAAACCTTGGAGAAACGAGCCCTTGGTTCTCCCAATGAGCCCGTGCTCTCCATCAAACCTCAGCCTTGCTGATAGCCCGGCTCAGTTCAGGTGAAATCCACACCAAATAGCTAAATACAGAACAAAGCATTCTACTTATTGCATCTTTTTCAATGGTGTCTAGTTTTCAAGAAATCAGAAAAATAAAGAGTTCGCAGAGGATCACGAATGGACGGGTTAGTCATTCCTTTTTGTACATTTGATAAATTCTGCAAATTTTTTTTTTAAACAAACGTAAGTGATGAGAATCAATTAACCTTCATTTTCTAAGTTATCACCAGTCCTGGAGTCAGGGTTCTCGGACAACAGCGCGTCCGACTACCTTCCACACACTTCCCCTTCCACATCGTTCGCTTCAGGCCGAGGTTTGACCAAATGAAACAGCCGTAAAATACGATATGCCCAGTGCATTTTCACACAAGAATGCACTTGCTCAGTGTAATAACTAATTAAGGCTGGTGCCTCCAGGATTATTCCCGCTGCAGACGAATGAGCAGAAACAAAGTCTCACTCTGTCACAGCCTCTTCCCCACTATTCTCCACCACCTTGGGACACATCAGCGCTGCAGCAAGCTGAGGTAGTTATGAATATTGCACACATACAGATTTCTGTCTTGTCAAGGAAACTGAAAATGATCATTTTAACAGGCTTTGTGATGTGTTGTATTACCAGTAACTTAGAAGAGAAAAAAAACAACTTCTTTTTTTTTTTTTAGTTTCAGCCCTTCTCCCAGCCCAGAGGTATGACCAATCCCATCTCCTGGTCTGTCAGATCCAACCCACCCTCTTTCCAGCTGGAGACCCCCACGCCATCCCACGTCCTATTTAGAAGTCCAAAACCAGAGTGAGGAAAGAAATACAATTTGGAGATGTTCATTTTTGATATGGAGTTATACTCTTCTCTTAACCCCGCCTCCCTTGACTTCATGTTTGATTACAGTAAAACTGAAGCAGGAGGTCATGGAGGTCATTCCGGTCCCTTTTGTCTGGACCAACTGGAGACCAACCAGCCCACGCTGGACTTTCCAATAAGCCAATCAGAGCCTATCCATCTGTTTGAAGAGAACATCTTCACAATGTTTAATGATAATACGCATGGAACAGAAAGTGAATACTCCTAAAAACCTCAATGTGAACATTTTAACTGCTTTACTTTAGTATTTTTTTTTATGTTTGATTTCAGGTGCGCTCTTTGGGAATGGATGCTCAAAGATATATCTCAGGAAGGAATCATCAGTGAGGCTTTCATCCCCTCAGTAAGTGTTAGTTCAAATGATACAAGCTCTGTCTAGGATCACTTTTTAATGTGTGATCTCTTCCTTTTTGATGATAGAACTGTACCCAGTCCTCAGGCTGTTGGAATGGAGGTAAGACCTCGAAGTTTAATCATTTGTCGCCACCTAGTGTTGGAATCTGTAGCTGCAATTCTATTGTTTAACGAACAGAAGATAAAACACTAAAAGTGATATTTTGATGCAGTTGAATCATGTCTTCTTCAAAAAACAATTCCTGTTATTTTACTCAGATGGGAGCATATGCAAAGGTTACAGTACCAAATATTCTGTTTCTTTCTCAGCTCTCCAACGGCACTCACAGAAATTCCAGTAAGTTTGTTAAATGTCTCCAAGTAAGCAGCTCAGTCAGTGTGTGTATGCTGGTAAGTAGAAAAAAAAAGTCCCCCTAAACTGAATAGCTGTCTGTTTAAAACCCACAGCATGTCTTGGAGAGAATGCTGGGCTTTTGAAAACCTTTGAATATTTGCCAAGTTGCTCATGCAGAGCAGGTTACCTCAGTTCAGACTCCGATGATGTAAGTTAATTTGTATTTGTAAAACCTTGCCAGTTTCCTGAATTGCTATCAGTATAGAAGCACGTCATTTGTTCCGAAAGCAACAAATAAAATAAACCAAAACGTGCTTAAATTGAGTCAGGTAGAATGGGTAGGAAGACAGATGACCATTTTTAAATATATATCCAAAGTTGGACTTAAGTCCTTGTCATTATCTTTTATTATTAAAAAAATCATATAAAGTTCTAGTTTTTGACTTAGCAGTAACCAATTCAATTGTATTCCATAATGGAAAGGTTTGATAAACAAAATTTATAAAAATTGCCATGACCATTTCAGCTTTGACATACCATATATAACACACAAAAGTCCCATTGCAAAATTATTTTTGGGCAAGTGCTATTCAAATGACAGTAATGATGTGACTTAATGTCATGGTTTGCTCTGCAGACACTCTGTCAGTACTGATGGAAATTCACTCCTTATTCAAAACTACGTAAACAAGGTCTCCGCACATCCTTAAAAAGTATTAATTTCATGTATCTAAAGTTAAGGCCTTAGAATGTATAACATTTATTTTATAAAAGTAAGTAGGTCTTAAATATGTTAATAGCGGGTCTTAAATTTGGTCTTGGCAAGACTATTTAATCTTGGATTGCAAATTTATCGCCAATTGGCTGGACGAATTCTGTACATTTCTGTGAAGAAATAGATCTTAAATTCTATTCATAATCATCTTAAAAGGGTCTTAAAAAGTCTTAAATCTTAGTTGGTCAAACCTGTTTAAGGGATTCTACTGAACATCTGACATCCTTTCTTTTCAGTGAAAGAAAGGATGAACAAAGTCATAGTTAAAAGCTTTTATTTTGTAATGCATCGCAAACAGCCTAATATTATCTCTGACCTTTATTTCCTCTGTAGGATGAATCTTGCTGTGAGTCATGTGGCCATGAGTCTGGTTTTTATTTGGATGAAGCTTGCTCTGACAATCTGAAATCAGCCTCACAGAGAATTACAGTCCTTTCCCAACCGAGGCCTCTCACCCCGTTAACGAGATCCAGTGTGAATGTTGGAGACAGCCAGAACATGAAGCCGAATGAGGCCAGCACAGATAATAAAGCCTCTGGATGCCAGCTGTCAGTGAGCTCCGTGACTCCCCCGTCAACTCATAACTCCAAAGTGTGTAGATGTAAGAAAGCCGAGAGTCGAGACGCAGCGACTCAGACTGTGTGCTCCGGCACAGCTGGCACGTGTGATGTTTCGACTCAGTGCAGCTTCGATGCAAATGACGAGACCAAAGTCAGAGCTTTGTGTCGACCAGCTGTTGACGCATCGCGACAGTTTCCAGTGAATGAGAGGGAGACTGACATGGAGACACAGACACTCAGAGCACCATCACAAGGCTCAGCGAGTAAAGGAGCAACTCCTTGGAGCAGGAAGGAATCGAGGACGGGTTCAGGAGGCAGGGTTTTCAACATTGTTCCTTCAGAGAGAATCCTGCAGGAACCCATCAACCCCTTGCTTGGTGTTTGGAGGCCAAAAGGTATGACTTACAACAAGGGCGTCAAAGTCATTTTCATTTTTGGCCACATCAAGACCATGAATGTCCTCAAAGGGCAGAATCTATTGATAAGACCCTTTAACAAACTGTTAAGGCTATTACCTCATCAAAAACATGCCTGGAGTGCTTTTTTGAGAAATCCTTTAATCTCCCGTGGCAACCATTCAGTTGTCCAAAACACCCTGGGTGGAACTAGCGTCGGCTTCAAGGCGTAGGTCCTCCTTAGAGCTGCATTTTCTGAGCTTCCTCCTCATACCTCCTTTACTGTGCTCCTTCAGACTAGCCAGCAGAATTTAGCAAACACCTGGTGGAACCGTGCAACTGCTGAGCTCATTATAGGAGCTCCTTCTCAGTAAAACGTTGGTAAAAATGTTCCTAATGTTCCTGAAACCATTCACTAAAGGATTAATAGAGGAGCCATGTTGTGATGACTTCCTGAAGGTGGAGTTTCAGAAAGAGCAGGAATTTTTAAAGAGACAGAGACCCAATTTCAAGGCGTTAAATTACAAAGTCAATTTTCTTCTAAGTCATATTTGATATATATAACATTTTTATAACAACAGGAGGTATTTGCTATAACATGGCACTATAGTTGGTATAAAATATGCCTGGAAGACACACAATATGGCCCCTTTAAAATCTCAACAAATAGCTGCCTCTGTTTTCAACGAGTATTTCTTAAAGTGAAATAATGTTGAACATCTTTTCACATTGATCTAATTCGGCACTTTACAGACGTAAACTACTTTGGTTTGACTGATAAGATATTATTTCAGCTCATAATTGTTATCTGGCCCCCTTGAGTCTATAACAGGGATGTCCATCTTTTACAATCCAAAGAGCCATTTTGGCTCTCAGACCAGCTAAATAAAACACATTTAGAGCCGCAAATAATACATGACATTTTGAAGAAAAAAAAAAGAAATTTTATAATCATAACTTTGGATAAATTGTTGCTGTTTGAGAAATGTGATACTATCTGCTACGTTTGCTCACACCCTGTGTATCTACTGGGGACTAAGCCCCTCTTTATCCTTTGAACCTAGCGACACCCCTGGTTTCAGCTGAGAATGTTTAATATGGAAGTTGTGCCAGTTAGCTATAAAACCACGCTGCTCTCGTGTTTCTCACACAGGAGAGGAAAATGGAGACGAGAGCGAGCAGACAGGGCCAGACAGGGAGAACCTGGTGAAGGAGGAGTCAGACGAAGGAAGAGAAGAGGTCAGGGGTCACACACTGTCGGAGGAGGTGGAGACGCTTCGAGAAATAGCCGACGTTTTGCTTCTGCTGAGGCAGAAGTAAACAAAGGATGGTGGACACATAAGCAAAAGTAATATATTTATTATACCTTTGTGTTTAATGTTTTCTAGTGTTTAATTAAAATAGTCTGTTGGTTATGTTGTTGTGTAATGAAACAAGAAGCCTTTAAGCATTACTTTAGACTCTTGAGTTTATTTCTTTCTTCATATACATTAGATTTCATGTAGATATTCATCTTTATATAATATAAACTCTAGCAAAACATTTACATCTTGAACAATTGTCAAATATACTATACAGAGATTTTTTTTTAAACTTGTGTTTTAATTAAGATAGAAACATATAAGTAGTTCACATAAAATAAAAATAATAATAATAAAAAAATGGAAACATTTTACCATAAGTACACGTCACATGGCCTGTCTGCCGCAGAGGAGTGTTAACACAACTGGATGTGGAGAGCGAAACATCACAGAATCTTTGACAAGATGTACATCAGATGAGAGGCACACGATCACTTTGAATATTGTGTCAACACGTCTTCCGTAGTACGATATGTACAAAATTACTTTTGCGTAGTTTTAAGACAGCTTTACCAGATGAAAAATTAAAAGAATTGCATTTTCCTTACGTATGCAGTTGGATTACTTTGAAAACTGGGTGCAGGTTTGTTTCCGTCAGTGAGAAACACGCAGCACATTTCACAACGAATGACTCAGTAGTTCTGTATGTTCTTGGTCTGTTACTACAACTCACACACACACTCAACATAATCAGTGGTGATATTTTTAAAAAGCATACAAATATCTTTAAAGCTGACATTTATAGTAACTATAATCTATGCCTTGGACAAGTATTCATACCCCTTGATCTTCTTTTTCTCTCATTTTCTCAGATTACAACAAATTTATATGTATTTTATTGGGATGTTAAGGAAGATTAATGCAAAGCAGTGCATAGTTGGGAAATAAATGAATGCAGGTATGACTTTTTAATCAATAAACTAAAAACTTTGGTGTCCAAGGTATTTAACCGCATTTACTCTTATTCCCCTAAATGAAATAATGTAGCCATGATGGGCATTTATCAGTAAAGAAGCCAAGAGACCTAATGTAACTCTGGAGGAGCTGCAGAGGTAAACTACTCAGGCTGGCGAATCTAAAAGAAAGAAAGAAGAAGGGAATAGTTAATCTGTTTGTCCTTCTTACAAGATGCTGAAACTAACACTGAACCTACCTATTAAACATTGTGGTGGCAGCATCATTCTGTTGTTTTCTCAAAGTAAAATAGATGGATGCCCATAGCTATGTACAGGGAAATACTGAAAAAGAAAATGTCTTTGGGGCTACAAAAGTTCACTTTCAAAAATGAATAAAAACCTCAAATAAATGCATATAAATACATAAAATCCCAATAAAAAAAAACATAAAAACTTGTGGTTGTGATGTGAGAAAATGTGGGAGAGTTGAAGGGTCATGAACGCTTGTGCAAGGCACTTTATAACCTTTCAGCAATATTTAGCCTGTGCAAGTTTTTTACAATAAAATGAGAGGTGGCACCTTTCTGCTCACATCAAACTCAGCATGACGCAAACTGTGAGGTTAAATGAGTCTAAACTGGCCGCAGGAAAGAGTGTCTGCTTTTATGCCGACAGCTGAATGAATGTCCTTAAATCACATTTTTTGTCATACGTAGACATTTGCCGATTTCTCCACATGAGGGCGCTGCTCTCCTGCTTTGTAATATTGTTTTTCCTCAGAAACAGGTTGACAATACCACTTGCTTTTATACTAGTCTCCCAGTTCTAAATGCATGCTGGTGTCACTTTGACAATAAATTAAAAATGTATCTTAATAATCGATGTAGCTTGGGAGTTCATGGTTTATTTAAACTGAGATACATTTTTATGGATAAAGACATGAATTATCCTGGATCCATGTTTATTTGGGCACTGTTGCAGCATATTTACTTTATTTACATGTTATTGTAACAGCTTTGTTCTTTTTTACTTCAACGATTTTTGCTACACAGGGACCTTGGTGGAGTCACGCAGCAACTACACATCGGTTGTTACAAAACATCGCTAAATTACATTAAAGCCAGACTGAAACCAAAGTCTCCTCTAGTTTGTACATAAGGCTATGAAGGAAGACAAAAAAAAAACATTAGAACTTGAAGGAGCCATTTAGACATGCGGGAAATGCAACAAAAATGGGCATTAGGCACATTACACAGGCACTAATGAGAGTTTTACTTGACTCCTTCATCAGAATGTCATACATTTACAATGCGTCCAGTAAGCAGTTCCTCTGAGCAGTGGTTTATGAGGGGATTTATTGGCACATCTTGTGGCAGTAGGGTTAGACTCTTGGCATTGTGCTAAAAAGCTGCATTTTCTTATAGATGAGAAACTTAAAAACCTAAAATCAAAACAACCGTGAAAGCCACAGGATGAAAACTTCAGCAACAAAACGTATAATCCTTCCAGTGCTCCCAACTGGGGCTTTTGTTAGTCAAGCACTAACAGTACGAGTTTGCTCAGGTGTAAAATTGTGCATGTCTGTTGATTGTTTTTCATTAGAAGGTCAAGACCATCCACAAACTTGGAAGGTGTAGGAGGGAGGGGGGAAATCTCATCTAGGGGGAGCTAACATTACCGCGCGATGCTACAAGCCGGAACACTAACCTGAAACGTATCTCATACTGAAAGGCATAACGGCACTACGGAGATACAACAAGTCACGACAACAGCTCTCAGGTCAGCTAAGGTGATGTGGATGCACAAACCTGGTATCCAAACGACAAGTGTACCGCACCTCTTTTTTTTTTTTTTCTTTTCTTTTTTAAACAGGAACAAAGCTGTACCGGAATATTCTGCATTCAGTTTGCGGGGAAACTGTCTCGCTTCCTGATCAAGGTCTGTTTGGCTCCACGGATCACAAAATGAGTGTTAATGAATATTACAGACCAGATCGCTTTTGCGTGTTACGGAGATTGCCAAAAGACCCGGAGCGGGGTCAACGACACGCTCCTAGTCCACGTCCGACGCGTCGTTGTCCGACAGATGGTAATTGGAGCCTTTGACGCGGATGTACTCGACCTGCCGCCCCTCGTCTGAGTCAGAGGCACCGCATGAGCAGAGCTGGTTTTCAAACAACGCCTCGATCTCCTCCAGGCGCCGCGCTTTGGTTTCTGGCAGGCAGCCATAGATGAAGAAGAAACCCAGCAGGGCCATGCTGGAGTACAGGAAAAAAGCTCCTGGGGTAAACAAAAAGCCGGTGGTAAGAAACTCAACGCTTCAACATTTCAGACTTTTCTTTAAAGTGTTTGTTCTATAAATGTTCTTGTTCTCATTCACCATCTGGAAAGCAGTCCTATATTGTCTGTATTTTAAGCATTTTCCAGTAGATGTTTTTTATGCTTCTATTAATCTGGGACAAACTTCTAGAAAACTGAAAAACTGCAGAAACAATGAGTTCCTTTAAATCAAGGCTAAAACCCACCTGTTTAGAGTTGCCTTTGAAGAATAATAATTGGAAAATCGATCAGTGTATTTGATGTATATTTGCTTGATGCTTCTGAAGATGGCATTTGACAAAATGTTGATTAGTGTATTATGTTTTCATGGGGTAAAGCACTGTATCATTTGTGGTCTTTTTTTTTGTAATCTTTTAAAAATTGCTAATTTTGTCATTTTTAATCTGAAAAAGTAGGAAATTCCAACATGCAAAGGATGTGTAGGAACCCTCGTAAAAGAATCACTAGTTGTGACAGCAGATCCAAGAAGCAGTTATTACAGGATGTTAATCGCCTACACACTTCAACAGAAGATTAAAGTACAATCTGTTGAGAAAAAAAAAAAGAAGAAAGTTTTACCACGCTGAAATATTGCTGTCAGACTGCCAGCGAGGATATGATTTGAAGTAACAGGTTCCTGTCAGACTTTCATTACAGCAGGGTTAATATAACACGGAGAACTACAAAACGCATCTGGTAATAGGAATTCATACATAAAATGCCAAAGGTTTAATGAGATATCCTAGCTCCTCTGATCTCCATTTCCTCCATGTCGAAGCAAATCGCCGTATTTCTTACAGTTATGGATAATTGTATGTTAAATACCACCTCTGGGTCAACGTCGAGCTTTTTTTTGTTTTTCCACCTAGGCGAATGGGTTAACAACAGGTTAAATCGATCATTTGCCCAGGAAGTCTCAATCATCACCTTTGATTGATTGATTTTCTACCGTCACTAAAGGGCAGCCTCTGTCTGTCTGAGGAGAAACAACAAACAACCTTGCTAGGTATCAATTCTTTCCTTTTAAAATGGTTTTGACTCAAGAGGTCTAGAAGATCTTGCTTTACGTGTGAAACTGGAAATGGCAGACATCAACGACATAAAAATACTGACCATAGTAGGTGAGGTACTGAGCCAAATGGAGGAAGGTGAAAGACACCAAGATGTTGAAGGTCCAGTTGACTCCAGCAGCGCAGGCGTTCCCTGTGCTCCTCGCCCATAAGGGATAGATCTCTGAGTTAATGGTCCATGGCATTGGTCCCATGCCTGGTAGAGAGAAATTAACCGTCAGTCTCGACAGGTGCGCTTAGTGTTATGGAGTCAGAACATTTTTTGAGGAAAGAGATTTCTTAATTAACTGCTTTGATTTTTAAGTGATCTTGTCCGAAGACTATCTATCACAACTAGCAAGTTATTCACTTGAACATTCAACTTGAGTTTTCTAAAGACCAACAAAATGCAACGGCAATCTTAATCTTTTGGATCATTTATCAAATGCTGCGATCAAGCTCTATGCAGATGACATAGTGGTGTATTGTTAATACCCAGTAGTTTTTGAAGTGTTTTAATTTAATGGTTGATTTTGATGTCAGTTTAACAGCTTGATTTTACAGAGTATTCTCCAGAAAATAGCCTGGATTCGAAAGTTGTTCATCTACAACAGCGACTGATTGAGTTTTCCAACGCCCAATAAACGCCTCGAACATGACTGACCGAACTGTCCTGTGGTCTGTGGGATAGTTTATCGAATGTTGCATTCAATCTTCATGCAAAATGATCTTTTGTTCATCTCCATCAATACTTCAAAACTTTGACCCCAGTCTGTCTTTGATGTTGTTCAGTTGATGTTAGATTGAAACGCAGAGTTTGTAGCAAAGAATAGTGTTCTAAAATAAACATTGAACCTGTTTAAGGGACTGAAATAAGTAAACGTGATGAAGCATGGTTTCCACAACTTTTTGTTGCATTTTTGGATTATCGTGATCTACTCTTAAAGTACTCTACCAGGCTTGTTTTTACAGCTTTAGGAATGTCTTTTTTGTTTCTCTTTTGTCACACTTGAAAGTTTTTCAAATCAAACACATTTTTAATATCAAACAAATTAAACCGAGTAAATGCACAATATAGTTTTCAAATGATAAAAACTGGATTTGCCACCTTTTTGACAAAGGGTTTTGTAGTGGCATCTTTATAGCCTACTTCATGATGTCGGTCACGTGCTATGTAAGGGATTTTTTTTATTTGATTAAAATTAGTTTAGTGGTCTAAACCATTTCAGTGCGACAAGAAGACAAAAGTAGAAGAACGCCGTAAATGACTGAAATATTGTTACTGTATGTACATTTTCTGATTTTCCAATTTGATGTGGGGTTTGTAGGTTGTTACCTTTGTGTTTATTTTATTTGTTGGAACTTAAAAGAATTTATTTTAGCCATATCTACCTTAAAAAGAAAAGAGATTTTAATCTCAATGAAACGAAATACATTTTAATTTGATGCCTGTAGATTTAAACAGATGAAGAAATTGGAAAAAAATAAAGATGGAAGCTGAAAATATGAGTCTAACCTGATTTGTTTAAATGTATCATATAAATAAAGTTTGGCATCTCAATTGCTCAAAACCTAAAAGAAATGAAGTGCTTGTGTCTCTTTGTCCTCTCTAACCCTACTGAACTGTTTTCTAATAGACTATTAACTGCTTTAAAGTGAAACAGAAACTTTTGCATTTAAAGTACTAGACTACAGGGAATTAATTCAGATTGCAGATAACACCAAATAGTAAAAGGTAAATAAAGTCCTTAGGTAAATTTGTTAATTTTTCAGATTTAAGATTGATACAAGGACACATATAAAACGAAAAAACAGTGCATAACGGATTCTAGATGAATAATCTCCCTCAAATCTGTCTGAATGAACAGTTTCATCTTCTTACCTGGAGCAAAAGCAGCCAGGTAGAGCACCAGCCCCAACAAAACCAGCCAAGAAAATGAGGTGGGACAGTAGTTATAGGCCCAGTAGGTCTGATCTCTCATGAGGGTAGAGTTTGAACATCTGAAAGAGGGAGACACATTCCTTTTGGTTTTCTGGTCAGCAGAATGCGGGATCTGGAGGGGATGCGCCTCGCCCTGCGATCCGGTACGTCCCGTGAGCATGCCGGGACTCACGCCGCGACTCACCTGCCCCACGCCCCTCGTTCGGTGGTGGCCTTATTGACCGGCACGCAGGAGGAGGCCAGGAGAGTCGAGCCGTTCTCACGGTAACAGAAACCACAGCGAGGGTCCAGCATGCATGGCTCGCACATTCTGCACACCAGACAGGAGGAAATGCACACATAAGCAAAGTGATGCACCAAAGCAGGGAATGGTGCCCTGGCCAAGCCCCTCCTCCTGTCGCACTCCAACCAATTAAAATGCAAGCAGAAAGCTGGTAGTGTAGTCTTTCAGTACAGCTAAGGGAAACTTACCCCATTGCACAGGCTAACAGTTATAAACTTATTCAAAGGACCACTGACAGATAAGATATATTTTATTTATTTTCTAGGTATTGGGCACCCTATCCATTACTGATACCGCCCTGGGCAACTGCCAATATCAAAACCCACAACTCTATTGAAGACAAATGACTTTGTTTCTCATTTGTTCTTAAGTTTCTTTTAGGGAAGCAAGTTTAATGAGTTAATCTAAGATTATCAATTGACTAACAATTAACTGATAAGCGGCCACTTTCTTAAAAATCTCAGTTTTGTCTTATATGAAGAGGGTCGACTCTCTTAATCTAATAAACCACAAATGGACAATTTATTGTAATTATTTGCATCCCTAATTTCCTTGTGTTACTATCAACTATCTTTTAGCTTGTTCCAACAGTGTTTGTAGTTACCTCTTCACAAAAATTGTGTTTAATTAATATTAAACTTTGATATTTACATATAACATAAGATATTTACTCTGACAAAAAAAAATAAAAATAGAAGAAACATTTAAGTGTACAAATAGCTTTTCACACTACTGAGGTAATAAAGTAGATGAACTTCAGATGATAACAGAGAAAAGCAGGCAGTGATGGTCCTGAAACTAGTGGTCGCTGAAAGCATGTGTGGGAACACAGAGTGGTAAAAGCACTCTTCAAATTACTCTTGTCTTTTTGTATGTGTATGTGTGTGTGTGTGTGTGTGTGTGTGCGTGCGTGTGTGTATGCGTGTGTTTGTTGAGGGTAGTGGAATTACAGGGAGTTGGTTCTGGTCAGTGAGTCCATTAGCCGTTGTTTTTCATCAGAATGAGTGTTTTGTCTTCTCTCTTTGTTAGTGAGAGTAAATTGGCATCAGATCTCTGTCTCACACGAAGAAACACTGAAGCTGTGTGAGTATGTGTGTGTGTGTGTGTGTGTGTTTGCGTGTGTGTGTGTGTGTGTGTGTGTGTGTGTGGTAGGGGGTGCCCTTTGTAGCTTATGGAGACAAGCTAAGCCAACTGTAGGCATTTGGAAAAGAAAAATGAATCCCATGTGGAACGAATGTGACATTAGCATCAATAATCAAACATTGACGAGTAACTCTCTAACTCTGGTTTACAATAATATAAAGCTCTATCAGCAATTATAAAGTGTTACAATAAAGTGTTATGTTTTTAAAAAAAATAAGGAAATAAAAGTTGAAATACTTCACTATTAAACATTTATAAATGATGACACCACTATTGCCTAAACGCGGGTTGAACGGGCGAAGCTCAGTTTTGCATTTCTGCCACACACACACACACACACACACACACACACACACACACACACACATCTTTTTGAAAGTATCCCAAACATTTCAATTTTGGTAATTGGGGTTAGACTAGTGCAGTGCCTGCATAACATATTGAAATTTGTAGTGGAAACGTGACAAAGCATGAAAACCCCCCACTTGCATTCTGTTATCAGTAGAAATAATTAGCTGTATAAAACCATGAAGTGAACCCAACAACCAGAGCATGACTTCAGATGTTAAGACAGTTACTAACCTCCTAAACATTCAACTTTATTTAATAAATAATAGATTTTGGCTTCATATAAAAAGAAAAAAGCCTCCCCGGACCCTAAAAAATAGAGAAAATAAACACAATTGTGAAAATTATAAAAATGCAAACCTACTAAACCTAGTGTGGTTCTAAATGCTACGGTAGATTTTTTTGATGTTGTACCGTCTTGTAAAAAAAAAAAAAAAAATTTGATTCTTTCAAAAGTAATGTTTACATCAATTTTTGTATTTACCTCCAGAAAGAAAGATGATTTAATTCCAGCTAAACACCAAACCATCTTTCTGTCATTAAATAAGAGTGAAAAAAGTTCAAAAGCCTCGACCTCTAACGGTTATAAAAGTCCAAACAAGTTCCTCCGCAAATTGGAATTTCAAATTATTTTGAGACATTTTTAGACTCATAAACTTTTTAGGCAATCTTCTTTCTGAAAGCTCTTTTCAGATTCTCATGTTAAACAATCATAAGCCTCAGCATGTAAATAAAAAACAAAATGTGGTTTTAAAAGCCATAATCAATATCTACTTCCCGTAAGAAACTGACTTCTCATGATTATTTCACACGACCAAAATAAATAAATCATCACGAGAGGGCGACACACGTGCAAAAACAGCCAGAAGGTCAGCCATTCGCTTATTAGCAAATACTATAAATGGATAAAGGTTATCTCAGGCGCCACGGGTTTTAATTAAGAAATGAAACATCCGAGTCTGTAATTTGCTGAATGTCAACACTGCAGTTTATGTTACGTTTGTTTTACCAACTTAATGCTTTCTAACATACACAAAGGATTCAAGACTACAGTGAAGTTAGAAAAGTAGCTTTAAGCAGAAATCAACTTAAATATTATCAGCATATGATAATGTATGACATGTGGACCTGAATGCTGCTCCCAGATCACTGCAGAAGTGAGTTGGAAACCCAGATCCGACCTGGATTTGTGTTTTTACTCACTGGTACTTGGAGCAGGTGGAGTTAGCCATGACCGGGTCCAGAGGGTGGACAGTAACCGGGGGACTGTGCTGAGCAGACATGAGAAAACCTACGGCCAGCAGACTTAAACTCAAACATGTACCTGTTGAAAAAACGAAATGAGGATTAGTTTGTTCGCCTGGTGGGGACCGCTGGTCTCCCTGCAGCTCTTTGTGTCTCACCTATAATGCTGCCCAAAGTCAGCTTCCTGCGGCCCACCCTCTCCACAAGCCACACCCCCAGGAGGGTGAACAGGAAGTTGGTGAGGGTGGTGAGCCCTGCCAACCAGATTGCCAGCCTGTCATCACGCACCCCCGACATCTGCAAGATGGTGGCGCTGTAGTACCTGAAGAAACGGTAAAAAAAAAAAAAAAGACTGTAACCTTTCTTTTGCTGAGATTTTCATGACACACTTCACAAGCGCTGTCAAAGCCACGATTGTTTTAATTCCTTACCAACAAAAAGCTGAAAAGCATCTAAATGTGTATGAACACTTTGCTGGACCACCTTTGGTTGTAATTACATCATTTAGGGCTGCAACTAACAAGTAATTCTGACAACTAATCGAGTGTTCTGACGATTAATCAAATAATCAGATTTAAAAATGGGCACATTCAGCAAATTTTTCATTGAAGCCTTTTCATATATCGTTTTAGAAATACATTAAGAGATGCAAATAAATAATCATATATATGTTTAATAACTTATATTTTATTGTCTAAAATGCGAGTTTGCTGTTTGAGCAAGATAGCAATTAATCGATTACTGAATTAGTTGACGATTATTTGAATAATCAATTCATCGCGATCAATTCGATTAATCACTTCTCCCTTAACATTATTTTTCTACAAAAAGCTACATAAAAGCCCCTACAAGTTAGTTTTCATTGTCAGCAGTCTTGTAACTCAACAGTTAACCTCCACAGCCCCCCTCTGCACCGGCTAGGCCAAGTAAATAAACCGACTGCGACCTCTCCTCTTCAACCACCCATCCAGCAATCAGCCTCCCTGCTTCAGCGCCATCCACTCGTGTACAGACAGTTTACCAGGCAGCTATAAATAGTTCTGCCCCCAGTCAATCTCCGCGGCTCTTCCTCTCTCATACTGTGTCATAATTATACCAGGGACTCGGTGCCCCGTGTTGCCCCGTGTAGGCAGATTGCCTCCAATCATCATCAGCAGGCCTCTCATGGCAGCTCGGGTCAACAAGACCTACGTCTGCAAATGGGTCTGTTTTATGCTTCAGTTCTGATCCCATGAGACTGAGTCAAAGAGAGGGAAAAACAAAAAAAAAAAAAAAAAAAAATCACATGAAAAGTTGGAATTGCTCACATTTAGTGTGAAGTTAAAGCTGGAAACTGGCTAATCTGGTGTTTCGTGATCTTTTTCTGGCCTTATTTGTTACGTTTTGTTACGTTTAATGCCAGCAACAGCATGCAGTTGGTATGGAAGTTTGTTTCTGAGTGGAAAATAGTAAAATTCAACTTTTGGGGCATCTCTGGTTTTATTTTTAGTCTTTACTCTTTAAAACATTTAAAGGTGAACAATGCTTCTAAAAGCTTTCTATGCAGGTCGGTACATATGGGTACCAGCTATATAGAAAGGTGTCGCCTATCTAGGCTTATTTTTAACTTACTCTGTGATGTAACTATGTTTATGAAATAATGAGATTCTGTTTTATTCCCCAAACTCTACTGAACTGATCTATAGCTCAGGTATTTGTATTAAAACATTTCTCTTGTTATGTAGGACAGTTTCACATTATGAAAAATAGTGCTCTTATTTTTCTGATTTTTACCTTTTTTTTTTTTTTTTTTCTATAATTGGCATTTTAAAAATGCCCATGCTGATTAGATTGGGAAAAAAATCTTCATAGGATGCAAATACAATCAGATTATTGTAAATGTGTGTATTGTTTAGCTTGATCGGAGTGTGAAGGAACTTCGGATTTTATGGGTTTATGTGAAAAAGCGCCTCATAGTCATAAAACACGGTGGAGGATCTGTAATGCTGTGGGAATAAGCACTTCAAATTTTGGTCGTATCAAAAAAAGAGATTCTTAACAAAACAAAATCAACCGGTTTTTTCACATTATGACACCTTTTGCCCGATTTTATATTACAAAAACACTTTTTTTTTTCTTTTTTTCTTTTTTTACATTTAAGCATATATAGCAGTCGCCAGGTGAGCGTTTTTTGAATACGTAATCTGAGTCGGATTGAAAAGCTTCAACCTGTTAGTGGTGCAGTTGGTTGGCATTGTAATCTTCACCATGGGGTAAAAATGAGCCATTTTTTACTCCCTGTATGAGGAAAAGATGGGAACATAATAGAGGCGGCACCGCGAGAGGGAGATACTCATTAAAGAAAAAGCCAAACTTAAAACGTCTCCTGCATCGTCTGCCTCTCTGCGTCTTTACAGGCGGCTCTGGATTCTGCTTTTCATCCCTTCAAAAGCATCCCTATCGCTCTTTTGTCCTCTCTCTTTTCACTCGTCCTCTCGCTCTCTCTCTCTCTCTCCTTCCCAAAACAGGATGTTTAATTGACAGATTTGCATAACAGCATTGTGCATTTTTTTTCTGCCATGGGATTCAACCAGATGAAACGAAACAACAAAAAAGAGCAAACAGAAGTGTGGCGAGAAGAAAGTCATTTACAGACTGCTATAAGAGAAATTAGGAAGGGATGTATTTGTTTCTCCACAAACTTATATTTTACTTGCATGCCAGTGAACGCGTTCATCGGAGAGATGTGTACAGCAGACATGGGGGTGGGATTTGGAGCAGCAGCAGGAGAAAAAAGCTCTATTTCTGGGCGCAGCGGTCCTTCACAACCTGCTGCGCTCCATCTCCACCCCAGCATCGCACTGATTACACCGCAAACACACACACACACACGCGCACAATGTTAAGATTTACAAAATTCCCTCTGAAACTTTCCCTCACCACTTTGCCGGGAACAGCTGGGAAGAAATGCACGTTTGATCCGTGCCGGGCTGAAGGAGTCGACTTGTTAATCTATTATTAATGTAATTGGCTGTCTGCGCCTCCTTCGCTCCTGTTAGGCAGTGAGGCTACGCTCTGCATCTTCTTTCTTGTTGTTAAAAAAAAAAATCACACCTTGTGACACTATTTGCATTTTTCCAGGTTGGAGAATCAAGCAAGTTTCAGATGCGATTTAGTTCAAGGAAATAAATGTAAAAATGTGGGGGAAATAAACTAACTTTCACAAACTTAAAGCTGCTGTCACACTGTCTTATCGTAGCATGTGCGGTGTAATTAATAAAACAAATCATGTTAAGTAGGTCTAAATATTAGGAAACTTTTTGGTCACCAGTTGATAAATCTGCTTTATTGGTGCAAACATCTTGAAATGCTAAATAGAATCAGAGGTTCTAGTTCATCTAATGCTACAGTTTAAATTTAGAGGGTGAAATACATAAAAGTACCTCTGGGTGTTGCATGGCAATAAAGAAAACAGTTACATTTTTCTCTTTTCTCAAGATCCTTTTGGAGTGCTGAGTGACACAAACCTTCAAGGTTTAGGACATTAGTCCTGACAGCATGCGACACCTCTCAGCCTGAAGTACCTATAGGTGTGAACACGTGTTACTGGATGACAGGACAACCAGCAGGAAAGGCTGATAAAACAGCAGCCTAAGGTAGCTCTCTGTGTGGCAGCCAGTGGGTTTTTTTTAGTCTGTTTTTACCTCTTTTTTGTATTTGTTCAGCTTATAAGAAAAAGGCATTGTTACATGAAATTGCATGATGGGATGACTACATGTCTTTAGGGGTCCAGAGGCGTTTCCAGGCCAAACGGGATATATAGTCCTTCCAGTTATATCAGGGTCTTCCCTCAATAAATAAAGCCTTCAATTCATTTACTTTGAATTAAAAATGACTTCAGATCATATGTAGTACAACCACAAACAGTATGACTCAATGGCATTGATGAAAGGACAAATTGTATGACAACAACTCAGATTTATGTCAGCGAATCACGACCAACTGTACTCCCAAAAAGATGGGTACAAAAACTGCAGTCCATTTCATGAGCTGTGTTTCCATTACAAACTTCGTCAATGTTCCGCTAAAGTCGAAAAAAACAAAATTTCGCAATTGTTGTGTTTCCGTTAAATAAGAGCATTTGGAATCATGTGCGAATAAGTTTGTTGTCGATAAAAAACACGCCGCGCCTTCATCTTGACTACTTCCTGTTGTCTTCTTCTTCGCCGTTTCTGTCAGCAGTAACATCCTGTTGTTGATCATGTGACTTATGTGATGTGAAAAAAGTGTTTCCGTTTCAATTTTGTGAAATAACCCCAAAAAAAATAATATTCTGAGTTCAGTACACAGAAAGTCTGTTGTTCAGTCATATTACCTTTTTCTCTCAAAAACAAATGTCGTTGCTTTATTTTGTACACCAAGCACATACATTTGTACACACATCCAACAAATATCTTATTCATTCAAGAATCCAAAAAAATAAAAAATAAAGGTGGAAGGAGTAAAAGCAGGAAGAGAGATGAAGCCTAAAAGTTGTTTTTTACTTCTTGATTTTTTTTCTTCTTTTAATTAAGTGGCTTGAACTGGAAAAACACCTGATGAGACAACAGCAACAAAACTTAATACAGGGTTGACCTTTGGATAGCTCCTCGCTGGTTTTTGCCCTATTTTACATGAGCGGTGAAAGCATGAAGCTGAGTCATGGCTGACATTTTCTGGCACATTTCAGGATTGTTCCGGGGGACCGGGGACTCTTGGGAGGAACGCAACATGCGGTATAATGGGCCGTGCTGGGCGGCTTCAGGTTATTCAGACAGGAAACTACAAATTACTTGACGGTTTAATCAGAAAAAGTTTAGCACGGAACTTCAACGTAATGAATTTTAATAACAGAAAATAGGATTGAGAGTTGGTCTATGATAGAGTTTTTTTTTTTTAAAGATATTGTAGTCTTAATTCTTGACCTTAAACATTTGAAAAATGTTCCGTATTAGCTTATTAGCACGTAGCACAAGTTGTACGACTTACTCGTATCGGAAAACTCATGACCTTTTGTTTTTTAAGCAGCAGTGTGATGGAGTCAGTGAGTAAGAGAGAGCAGAGAAAACACAAGGAGTCATAAGCAGAGAACTGGAAGTGAGAGAAAGACGGAAAGGTGAGAGGAAGAACAAACGGAGGGAGAGAAGACAAAAAGGATCAACGTAGGTGGGAAAGCGGGAACAAACGGACAGCCAGGAGAAAAGGTGTGGAGACGAGAGAGAGAGCGACAGAAACGGGGAGCATGCGTGTGAGACATAAAGAGACGGAGATTCTCCAGGGAAGTGGCCTATTTTTCAAATGAATGCATATGAACACTGAGCTGCATCATGTTAATGCTGGAACAGAAATCATTCAGCCCAAATGGATGAG